AACACTTACCGGTTTGCAAGTCAGTCTGAACGAAATGAAAAACTGCGTGCACATGTTGGCGAATAAACGCAAAATTTGCTCGTATAGAGTAAATTTAAAATAATTTCGCGAAATCCTGTCGTTTGTTCCGTTTATGCGAAATCGTTCTCTCCACGTCTTTGATGTCTTTCTGCTGTCTATGATTATAATGTTGAAAATTGAAACTTGGACTCTTGAATTCCAATCAAACATGAACGTAAAATGAAAAATTTGAGCGTGCGTAACCCGCGTGACACTCTGACAGCCCAACTTCATCAGCTAGTCAGCAACAGGAGTGATAAGCAAATGAATGACAGAAACCACCGAGCCTGTTCCCACAACACCCTCCTCAATTTTGCCGTTAGCTTATTTGGAAGAAGGCACTCAGAAAGCATAGATGCCACAAAAATGCGATTGAGATATGGTACTAGCAAGTTTCTGTAGTATAGTGGTTATCACATCCGCCTAACACGCGGAAGGTCGCAGGTTCGAGCCCTGCCAGGAACAAATTTTGTGACAATCGTCTGCACCATCAGAAATTCAAGTTTCATTATCTCTTTGCATAATAATTTTTCTTTTTGAGTATTTTGAGGCTGAGATAAACTGAAACACGCGCTTACCTGTGGCTGCTCAGCCTGGACCGTAAGGTTTATGCTCGTGTAAAGACCATGAATAAACTTGTTGGTATGACACCTTTGCTACACCATTTATTCGTGTTCGTATTTCTGTCAGCGAAGTAACATCTGGAACTTTTATTTCCTTTTCCAACCTCCGTCTTGCGATTATTTTTCGGAATTTGCACAAGTGATGTTCACTTCACCCAACAGAAACCTTAAACGAAATGAAAAAATAGCTCTGCAACATGTACACGTGTGCGCGTAGAATCGCAATAAGTAATAAATAAATAAATAAATAAATTTCACATGCAATAATTTATTAAAAGCAGTCATTTCAGAGAAAATTTGAATCTTCATTTGTATTTTCTTCGGTAGGACTGGATATCAAACATCCGTATAAAACTTTGATCTCTTGAATTTATCTATAGATAGAACAAAAACTCTGTTCACATCACATTCCACAACAAAACGAGCCAAACATGACCGAGTGACTAGTCAAAACACACAGGAAAATGCTGAAGGACGAGAGGAAGGTAAGGATGAAGAAGTGACTCCTTACCTCTCGGGTGCCCTTCTGCTTACCGACAAAGATAAATGGACACGAAATCTTGCGGGCAAATTTCCCTGATCGGGTACATTAAGCTACAGTGTCAATGTTAAGCCGCAGAAAGAATCAAATTCTATGCATACATTTTGAGAGCGGGCATGGAAATTATATGTTTTCTGATGTATCCTATTCTCTACCATATTTTCCTAAAGTTCTATTTGACCAAGATTTAGCATCTGCAAGTTCAAAAGTGTTCATACTGAACTTCTAAAACATTTCGGGTTGATTAGAGCGACGACGTTAGTCACTTTATAACCAACTTCACAAGACTGGTGTACTTATCAGTTGGGATGACGATGAATTTAACTTTGGCCTTCCCTTGTATCTTCTGTTAAGTTTGATGTCAGCGTATGGTTCAAAGCTTCGGAAATTACAGACCACGCATACTATGGCCCAATCTTTCTGTTAATAGTAGTTTTTGCCTTTCAGCTTTACTCTTTCCCCGCTAGGGAGATTGAAATCTTCTTGACTTGCGGTGGTTTACATCCAAATCTCAAAAACGTTTGTGAAACGCAAAGAGCTGAAACAAAATTTTTAACTGATCTATCTTTAATGTTTCATTCGTTCTAACGAAGCGCGAACGCTCAAAACGTCAGTTTTGAAACTCTTAACGGTGGCCAATTTACGTTATGAACTCAATTGATCATTAATACCAAATCACCCCGTTATATTCTCCCACTACAGTTTCTTTTGAAACTTGCCCCTTTATTCATTTATCTCTAAACTGGTTGAAGCATTGCCTCAAGTGGTAGAGCACCCCCCTGAGCAAGCGGAATGTACTGGGATCGAAACCAGGACTCTCCACATATGGCCATTATTGTTCTTATTCTTCTTTTAACTTGCCGTTCTGAATGATGCTAAACTTACCCTGTGTTCATGAAGACATATGGTATTTTTTTGCAAATTCACGTATTTCTTCCATTGAGTAAAAGCCTTTTATGTTAGATTTGTAGAGTACACGAACGGTGACTAAGAGTCACATACCATTGCAAAAAAAACTAAAGTCTGAATAGAGAATCTAGGCGTCAATCCTAGTACCTCTCGTATGCTAAGCAGGCGCTCAACGATTTGGGAAAATTCCCGAACCCGTTTATAACATGGTTTACCACTGTACCTGTAGATATTCAAGTCTTAACTCTATGCGGACAACAGTTTACAGGAAACCAGCACGACTTTCATAATGGCGGACAGCGCAAGAGTCCTGGATCGAGTTGCATGAAAACGAGGTCAGAAAGGCTAAACTTAAGCAACGCGTCCCTCTTCGTTTGCAGTAACGAGTACTGCGAGTACTTCGAATACTTCAAATCTGACATTTCTTACGGAAAACGATATACCTGGCGCTTCTTTTTTTGGAAGAAAACCTGAGGATTTAAAAATCTCAGAGCCTAAATTCTGGCTTAAATGTCGTGGAGACGCGGGAATAAGGTTGAAGACAGAAGCAGAGCTGGTGAATCGAGTGCATGACATGACTACATACGACCCTGGTTTCTGGGCCGAACAAGGGCAGAATCTGCTTTCTTGTTAATTTGAAAATTTTATTAAGTCTGCTTATGCAAAGCTTTTCAATTGAAATTGTCAGGCAAATAACAACAGTGACTGTGAAGTCTTGTGAACAGCTAGCGGTACATCTGGTTGACCCTGTAATCTACAGTTTTCCTGCAAAAGCTATGTTGTTTTATATAATAAGCTCAGTTATACACGCATTCTGATTGGTTCTCACTTATGATCTATTGGAGGACAGACTTATAGATGTCATTAAGACATTTTTTAATTCTTTATTGTATAAAACAAATAGATTCCAAGTTGCTGTGTCTGTTCTGTAATAGATCACAGAGGATGTCAAAATGTGGTCTATTATTGAACAGACGCGCGGCAACTTGGAATCCATTTGTTAAATGACATCTCTGTTTTTTCCAACAGAATTGGTAATACCATGCTTCTAAATTCAAATATTCTAAATTGTCGTGAATTTACTTGTTGACTGCGAATAACTACCTTACATGGATAAATTCTCATTATTCTTGTAGTTTTAATTTGTTGTGGGTTGAAATTTTTCCAACCAGTTTGATTTTTAATCTCCTTTGTTTCAAAGTATGCTAAAGAATACAAAGGAAAACTAAAACCAAACTGGTTTAAACATTTTGCACCAAAGGCAACAAATCCTAAACTGTGAATCCCTTATATGCCATAATGGAGCCTTTGTCATCAAATGATAGATTTAAAAATCCACCCCTTCTGACAATTTCCCGATCGGAGATAGAACCCATTTACAGTAGACCTCTGAATTTCACTGCTCCACCAGGAGAAATACCAACCAAACCTTCCAAAGTTGTGTGATTTTTGTAAGCACTGAAAAGTTCTTAATTCAACTGCAAGCTGCTTGGCGTTTGACATCTAACCTCAGTACAGTCATTATGACTCTAGTAGATTTGTACCTTCCCTTAGAAGATTCGGGCATTGCATTGATTACTTTTCTGATGGGCCAAATGTTCATTTGTCCAAACTTAAAAAACATAAAATTGACCCATGTGATAAATATTCTACATACTGTGGATGCTGATACTTTAAATAACTGAGCTAAATGGTCCTCTAGGAATCCTTGCCTTAGTCTACGCATGACTATAAAAAATTCATCAAGGGGCCTTAAAGATCTAGCTCTGCCATTTTTTATTAGTGGTCTGCCCTCAATGTAATCAGACTCAGTGTTGTTGCAGTTTTTGACCGCCAGTAGGAAATGATCAAGAAACTCAAAAACAGCCATTAAAGCGTCCCAGCTTCGAAAGCCAGTATAAAAGCGGCATTGGAATCTTCCGACTTACATTTTTCAAAGTTAAACAATCTTTTGTTAAGAGCATCACGTTGGGTATCTTGCAGTTGGCGCTTAAGTTCCTTAATTACCTGTTCGAGTTTATGATTCTTCTTGTTATTGTTGTCAATAATATCTCTCAAGTAGACCTCCTGATCGGTAAAATTAGTTTTTGTTTCGTCTTCGACTTTTAAGCTACAATCCCGTAGATCTGGGACCATTTCGCTTGATAATTTGCTTGACGATTCGTTTAATAATTCTTCAAGAACAACTGCTGGGGTAGACAATTTTCGTGATGCACTTTTCGAAGCTGTTAGTTCGAAGTTTCTTTCCGCCGGCTCCTTTCCTTTGGGTGTCGATGTTCGAATTCATGAAACACAGAAGGGACAATTCCATCTCTTAATTCATTTTTTCCCGGGATACATTTCTAATATCGCCTTTCCTGAAATGCTGGGAGCATATCTTTGTATTTTCAGTTACCTTGAAATGCTTTCCTTCGCCTCTTCTTATCGCGTGGAGGCATTTCTTCTTAACGGGTTCTCGGTTGGAAATTAAAAATAAGACACTTTTGTCCCATCGTCTTTTCGGTAGCATTTCTTCGTACATTCTGGAACACAACAATGAGTCGGCATTTCCTCTTCTTGAAAATAAATTCGACCGAATCGAGCTTTAATTGAACTTTTCTTTACACCCACAAGCGTGGCCTTTCTGACCTCGGTTTCATGTTTTTAAAAGTAATTACCAGTCTCGCGCGCTGCGGCCATTTTGTAAGTCGTGTCTAGCAGACCTCCCCTCTTATTCTTGGTTTTCACCCACGGTCCATTTGACCGTGAGTAGAGTTTAGAATTCTCGAAGAAAGCGTATTTTAGCCAAAGGCAGAATCATTCCCAGGTCGTCATACCGTAATCGCTTTCCCAGAACTCTTTGCGCAAGTGACAGGTGAGGCTCAGCGTACGCTGAACTTCCTGCTGTATTTTCTGTATTTTTATCCACAGATCTGCATAATCGTGGAATGAGGTTACGACGAAAGGAGAAATTTTAAAATAGGTAAGGGTAACTTTGATTTATCTACTAAGGTTATTAAAGTGAAGCTTGAATCCAACGAATTCTTGTAGTCAGGGAAACCCTTGCAACGAAGCCACTGTCGAATGAATTCAATCCTGTGTTTCATTTGAAGTTTTCAACCTTCGTCATGATTCAGTCATATCTTTTCTTAGAGCCGCACTCTGTTCAGTTATTTTCCTTCCTTCACACAGGTCTCAGCAATAATGATCACTCATGAAAACCAGATGTTAAGCTTTTTATAAGTTCGTTTTAAACTTTGTAGGTGTGTATTCGTGATAATTGTAAATTCTCACACTGATTGTTATACAGCTGATTGTGGTTTTAACGTACTTTCTAAGAAAAACTTCGACTCTGTTACAGGACGGATTCCATAGGCCCTTTCTAGAGATCTGAGTTGCATGGTGCAATACTACTTCACCAGGGTTAACCATTCGAAAAAAAATGTTTCTTATACTTCTAACAGGTATGTTATCATTCACATCTGAATATTAAGAAATAAATTTCTTCTTGAAGCAACCTCACTGTAAGTGATTTTGCGGCTATTTTTTGGCTAAAGATGAATCATTTAGTCAATATTGCTGAGTCACAAAAAACTGTCAAGCTATTTACAATCAAAGCTGTGGGAGTCATGTTCATGAACACATTAAACGCTCGTCTTCAATCCGCTTTGTTAATTTTTCCAAGAACAAATATTCCCAAATTGAGAGAATTTTCGGGCTGGTTTTAGTTGGATCAAATGTTATCACCAAGGACCATTCATTTTGTGTACTTAGCATCGATATTTCGTGTCAGAGATTCTTTGGTTCATGGAAAACCTAAAAAAGTTATGGAACTGTACAATACCATGGTATAGAATTTCACAGTTGTTGAAGAGTATGTCAGGAAGCATTTGCAGCAGATTTACTCAGAGTATTAATTGATTTTTGAACAGTTGATTGGCCTTGCATGCGGTGATAGCAATTTCACAAGATATTTTCATGTGGAAATACTACAGCTGTCACATCCTCAAAATGTACATTTTAGTTGACCCAAGTAAATCAAAAACAAAAGCTTGACTGATGAAACAATTACTTTTATTGCATCTTTAAAACTGTGTCTGCAGCCCTGAAGGGAAAAAGTGATGTTAATGAATATACAAATAATAAAGAGAAGATTTTTACAATGTCAAGTAGTTTGAATTGTTCACCATGGTGTTTAACAGGCAGAAGAGATTAGAGAACTGTTTGAAAACTGGGCACAATTTTCTGGCCAAAATCTGCTTCAAAATTAAAAAATTCAAGAGTCAGTTGATATTCTATGCATTTTTGAAAATTGCAAAAGCAATTTCCTTGCAGAAATCCAAGAAAATGTTTCAGCAGCATGGTGTAGTTATTTTACCTTTTGTTTATGTATTATACAATGAACTTTTCCCTCAAACATTCTACGTCTGGAACAAAAACAAATTCCAGATGTTTCCACCAGTAACTGTTATCCATAGCTTGTATCCAGATCATAACATAATTTTTTTTTTTTATATTGAAAGGATTCCTGTTACTGAAGGTTAGCCTTGTAGGTGAGTTATTTTCATCTTCATCAACTGATGAAATCTTGGAAGTATTATAATTAACAGTTAGATTATGTGTGTAAGATTTTTATCATGTGATGGATGGGTGATGGTGAAGTTTGAATCGTGTATAACCTAGAAATTGTGAGCAAGTTATTAATTGTTAAAGTATAAATCAATGGAGTACTTTATCCTTGGGTGAGCAGCAAGAAGTGAACTCAGGAGGTAAAGGTTGTCATACAGACTGACATTTCAAAACCCAAAGAGAAGCCATCATTAGAGTTTTGGCTTGTATAATGACTTTCAACCCAGTTTGTTCAAATATATTAAAGCCATTTTCAAACATTTTGAAATTGTTTCTTTCCCGAATAAATACTCTAGTTTTTTTTCAGTTCCCGAGTAACCAGAAAATATGGAGACCAAAGTAGTTGAAATCATAAGTTGTATGATCCAACCCTGAGTGTAGACAGATCTTTGTTTAATGCATTCACTCCTACTGAACCAGTTGCAATCTACAGGGGGAGGGCTTCCTTATTGGACATTAGTGGTACATGTATGTGAAATAAACTGGGTATGGTTTCAGTGCAATAAACAGGGTATAGTTTCAGGCTCTTGAGTCTTTGACAGGGAATATAGTTCACATGCTATTTAGCCCCTTCAACAGTTTGTCTATGTGAATTGGAATATTCCAGTTGGGTATGAGTGTCGAAAAAGCACATCTTACCCATGTGATATTAACATGTTTTTCCAAAATCTTATCATTAATACCTTGTGTGAATATAGAAGACCACGGTTGATAACAGTTTTCTCCTAAGAATAGTTGAACATAGTTTGCTTTAAACAAGGTCAGTGTCTTTGGGTAAATTCCCCTCTACACTTCCCTTTGTTCCACCCTTCCTCCTGTGGATAGCATTACTAACTCACCATCCTTTCTTCTGTGTTTATAGCTTCAGAATGTAACCAGGGGTTTTATACAAGTTCCTCCGGAACAGTGTCTTCACCATCTTATTCTACAAGTTCAACTTATGCCAACAACCTGTACTGCACATATGATATCACAGTTGGAAGTGGTTCTGGAATTAAACTAACATGGTTGTCATTTGACATTAAGGGAAAAATGCCAAACTGTGATGATGACTATGTGGAGATTTTCATAGGATGTGGAAGACATTCCATTGGAAAGTACTGTTCTGAAAATGGATACCAGCCATTTGATGTTTATTCAAGGGACAACTGCCTGCGCATAAGGTTCAAGTCTGATGGGTCTGGTGCAGGCAAAGGATTTCAAGCAACTTACAAATCATTTTCATCTGGTATGTTTTCCTTGTTTATTGATGAAAAAAGTAGTAATACAATAAACATTTCAGTATATGAATAAGAAAAGAAAATAATGAAGTATTTGAATAGACAAATGTATCTCTAAAACTGAAGCTACATGTATTTTGGTTTGCTGGAAGAATGTTTAGAAGAGATTTTAACCCTTTAACTCCTATGAGTGACCATTAGTTAGAATATCAATACAATATCATAGACTATGGTTACAGGGCATGAAATTAATTTTTTTTTTTGATAGCCACTTGGCTCCTAAATTCTTCGAAGTGGTAGCCACTTCCAAAAAAAGTTGCTCGCCATTTTTTACACTGTCAACGTTCTAGATAGACCCTCCAAAATTAATTCAGGGAAAAGATCTATAACGTTCTACAAAGTGGACACTAGGTTGGATGATATACAACTTTCAAGCTCACCTAAATCCAAGATGGTGTCTAGTTATTGATTGAGATGCATGTGCTGAGTTTTGAAAACAAACTTAACAAGGAAGTTTGCCACGGATTTATCTTTGCAAATCTTTCTGATTCACTATATCTCTCGGTAAGGTTGTGATGAGACATTCTAGTCGCCAATTTGGCGACTAATTTTCAAGATTTGGTCGCCAAAGTGAAAAATTTAGTCACGTTGGCGCCAGTATTAGGTGCAATTTCATGCCCTGGGTTATATTTTACATTGAAAATCATATATTAAGAAGAAAATAAACTCTTTCGTTTCACTTTATTAATTCATGCAAATTTGTGGCATTTGTAGATGTAGATAAGTGGCATTCTCAATCTGATATGGAAATTGTGGGAAAAAAAAGGAACAGCTTATATACTGGTGTTTACAGTAAATTTTTAAGTTCAAGCAGAGTCTGTGGTACACTGAACTCACTCTAAGAATTTGAGTTCAACACAGTTTGCTGTATGAAGTAATTTTCATAATTTCAAGCATTTGTAAGTAGCATATCATTTTGTTCTCTATCTTTGTTAAAACATCACATTCGGTTGTTCTTATGTGTTATTTATGAGTGTAAGTACAAAACTACCTAACATGATGTAATTATTTGAATCTACAGGAAGTCCAAGTGGTGTGGGAGGTAGGTGGTCAAAGTTATAAATCCTTGACAAGTCATGTTCATGAAAAATGTTAAAAAGGGTGTGATTTAAGAACATCTTTTGTTTATTCCCATGAAATCATTTGATTATGAAATCAAATGTTTAAACAGTCCTCAGTGAACCTGAGCTGCCTTTGCTATGACAAAAAGCTTTCTGTCTGTGTCTTTATATGGGAGGAATAATTTGTAACTCTTTACTTACATCTTCTCTTTAAAAAGGCTCATGTTTGTCAACAAGGACTCTTTCTTCAACTTCTGGTATTATTAGCTCTCCATATTGGCCTAGAGATTATCCCTCTCTCCAAGACTGTTACTGGAAGATTGAGGTTGGAAGGAAGAAAAGCATTAAAATTGCTTTCATGGACTTTGATTTAGAATATGATTTTGGATGTGATGATGACAAAGTCAAAGTAAAAGGTGAAAGAAGTTATTGGTGGTTTTTATCATTTGCATGTACTATTGGTGGTTTTTATCATTTGCATTCACTGATTGGCTGGTGAGAAGGTGATTAGCAATTACCATTCACCTCCAAGCAGTGGAAGAGACAAAGTCATACATCCACAATTTACCTTCCAACCATTTTTTGGTTTAATGAAAGAAATGAACTACTTGTTTGGTATAGCATACACTAAAACAGTACAGTCAAGTACAATTAAGTCTATATTAAGCAACACAGGTCACCCTGTATTTAGTGGTTGGTTGTAAAAGTCCCAAAATCTGTTCCCTTTAACCACTGTCATTTTCACCCCCATTTAGCAGTCACCTCTAGTAAGCGGTTGTGGTCACCCTTCAGTGACTCCCAATGGCCTTTTTATTTTGTCTTCTACCTATATTGAATGGCCACTTAAAGAGAAACCAATCAAATTAAACTAAGAATTTTCTTCTGAGCAAAATTTGATCCATGTTTATCTCCCAAAATCAATGTTAACAAGTTTTTGTCCTCTGAGTGGTCAGTTATGATGTTATATGGTGTTTTTTTTCCCTTCATTTTTCCGATACTTCTATTCTGTGGAACCTGTGGTAACCCTTTACACCCTAACATCAGTATGCATATTCTCCATACTGTTCTCTATACATTTTGTACGACACTGACAAAGAGAGTTTGCTTAACTAGAAAGAGCTGCTCTTTGTTGGTGATCATTTCCTTTTTTCTCATCACCTTAATGTGTGATGCAGGGGTGATTTTGTAAAGAGAAATTAGAAGCTAATCACTCATAAGGGTCAAAGGGTTAAGTAGTCCACTTGTAATAGGGCGGCTCCTTTGGGTTTTTGACTGCACAAGATCAGGGTGCGAACAAAGCACAAGCTTTGAAAGTGTCAACATGCAAAAAAAACATAGCAACTTGATACAATCACATGATTGTTATCTGAAAAGATGAGTTAAAAACAGTGTAATGCAATACAGTTTTTCTGTGATGGAATCTAGGGTTTCCAGCAACTGCACCTGTAATATTCATAGGCCTTCTATGCCTTAAAAAGAGGTCAACTGAAAGAAAACATTGTGTGAAAGATTGCCTAAAGGTGATAGATTCAAAAGTCTATGCATGCTTAGATACTGAACTAAAGTTCTATTCCATTTTGTAATATTTTTCAACAAAGAAAATAGGAACCTTTCTAGTAAAATTTATCATGTTTCCTTTGGTGAAATTTCCTAAAACTTGCTGGACTGTTCAACATGTTTGTGCCCTTCCTAGTGCCTGTTGATGAAAAAAAGAGACCAAATTTGAGATAGAGGTGGGGAAACTGCCTTTGTAACCCCTGCTTTTTCAGCTTTTAAATGATTGGTGTGACAATTTTCACAAATTGTGAAAATTTTGAGAAATTTGACCCAAGAAAATTGAAGAAAATCAAATGCAAAGCCAAATTATGACTGACAAGTAACTCCCTTCATGAAGCTTTAGTTTAGCTAAGTCATTTTTTTATTATTTACTACAGCAAACAATAATCCGAACCTTGTTCATTGCCTTTTGATGGCTTTTAGTGACCTTGAAAAGCAAAAGTGTAAAAATTTTCCAGAAAAACAATGCTGGTGTGCATGCCAATATCAAGCAAAAACCCTATGGAGTCTCCTTAAGGGGTCACATTACCATTCCCCATGGGTAGCAGCATAATGCAGGTTTGACTCTATTTACCTTAGGGCAGGTAAATATCCACCACTATTCACCTCCACTGTTTCAAATAATTGTTAATTATTAAAATGGATTCCCATTCAAACATACCTCTCTGTCTCTTCTTGGCTCATACTGAACTGTGTTTCCTGTACAACAATAACATTCTCACAATTTTTGTCTAATTTTGTAGGAGGAGATGACTCTGATTCATATGATCAATCTAGCACCATCAGAAACTCTGCTTGTGGTGAAAAGTCACCCTTTCACTTTACTTCATCAAAAGAGCGAATTTGGATTAGGTTTAAATCTGACAGTTTTAGAAGTGAGCGTGGGTTTGTTGCTGGCTATGTCATGTATGAATCAAGTAAGTCTTTAACATCTTTCTCGCATATCAGCCAAATGTACATAGGGAAAGTTACAGTATACTGTATGCACTGGGTGATTATATTACACCTCAATTGGTATGAAATTGAATAGGCTGTCTGAGCTTTTGAACTTTATTATTATAATAATTATTATTGTTATTATTATTATTATTATCATTATTATTATTTATTTTTTTGCCTTATGGCTTGCATTGTTGATATTTTTACATCCCCTTAGCTTAGTGGGAGTCCAGCTCCTCCTCTGTTGATTGATAAGACTGAACATCTGCATGTGTCTCAATTATATTTTCCTGTATTTGAAAATCTAATACCAATGTCAATAACAAAGTTCCATGCAAACAGAAAAATTTCCTAATGCCTGAGTCATATGTCTGGACATTTTGGCCACAGTGCTATTTCAGTACTATGCAGGCAAAATTCCATACAAACAGAAACATTTCCTAATGCTTGAGTCATATGTCAGGGCATTTTGGCTGTGGTTATTTATGAGTGTAAGTACAAAACTACCTAACATGATGTAATTATTTGAATCTACAGGAAGTCCAAGTGGTGTGGGAGGTAGGTGGTCAAAGTTATAAATCCTTTACAAGTCATGTTCATGAAAAATGTTAAAAAGGGTGTGATTTAAGAACATCTTTTGTTTATTCCCATGGAATCATTCGATCATGAAATCAAATGTTTAAACAGTCGTCAGTGAACCTGAGCTGCCTTTGCTATGACAAAAAGCTTTCTTTAGAGCTTCGCAATAGAAATGCAGGGAATATGTTGTTCTGCTCATTTTTCAGTGCTGTGTCTTTATATGGGAGGAATAATTTGTAACTCTTTACTTACATCTTCTCTTTAAAAAGGCTCATGTTTGTCAACAAGGACTCTTTCTTCAACTTCTGGTATTATTAGCTCTCCATATTGGCCTAGAGATTATCTCTTCGTTCTCGGCATAGAACTCCTCTCTAAAACCATAAAAAATGATCCTACTATTAAAGGTATCCAAGTCAACAAGCATGAGCTTAAAATAAGTCAATATGCCGACGACACAACAGTATTTGTTCGTGACCTCGATTCCGTCGTGAGTCTATTGAAGGTTTTAAATGAGTTCAAAGAACTTTCTGGCCTAGAAATAAACACAACTAAAACCGAAGCAATGTGGTTAGGCGAATGGAAAGACAGAACAGATGAACCCTTTGGTTTTAAATGGCCAAAAGAACCTGTCAATGCCCTTGGTGTCTTTTTTTCCCATAACCAAGAAAGTGCTAATAGACTGAACTTCGGTGAAAAAATAAGTAATCTCGAGAAAACTCTAATCACTTGGCAACGGAGAAATCTAACTCTTTATGGAAAGATAAACATAGTCAAAACACTTGGGATATCTGAGTTAATTTACTCAGCCTCCGTGCTCCCTGTTCCAGATCACTATATCCAAGAAATAAATAAGCTAACTTTCAACTTTATTTGGGCAGGAAAACCCCCTAAAATAAAAAGAAACACCATAATTGGAGAAAAGAAAGATGGCGGTTTGAAAATGTGCGATTTTAATATCATGGAAAAAGCACTTAAAATAGCTTGGGTCAACAGAATTCAAGATGACTCACAAGCCTCGTGGAAAATTATTCCTAACCAGCTCTTACACAAACATGGTGGTCTTGCTTTTCTAACAAAATGCAACTTTACACCAAGCACACTAGACCTCGATGATAAGCTTCATGCATTTTACAAAAAAGTGTTAGATTATTGGTGCGAGTTTAAAATCTCAACGGGCATCGATTCCAAAAAAAATCCTAAAAACGAAATAGTGTGGAATAACAGAAAAATTCTTATAGGAAAAAAAGCTGTCTTTTACCAAACCTGGTATGACGCCGGTATTACTAAGATAAGCGACATTTTAAACCAAAATCAGAAATTTTTGAAGTGGCATGAATTTGTCACAAAATTTAATTTAAATGTGGCTTTCACCACATACTATGGCTTGGTCAACGCAATCCCAAAAGACTGGAAAGCTAATCTTACAAACCCTATTCCAAACGTCACACACGCGAACACTACTGTAAACAGCTTAAGAACCAGTTCTATTTACTCTTCTCTTTTAAACACTGTCTTTGTTCCTCCCACTGCCGAAACCAAAATTCTACGCCACGGATTTACAAAAACTACCATCAAGAACGTTTATCTTATGCCATTTAAAGTTACAAACGAAGTTAAAATAATAATGTTTCAGTATAAAGTGATTCATAACGTGCTTCCAACTCGCGCCACTCTTTACCGAGATGGAATTTCAGAGAGCCCCTTATGCAACCTATGCAATACAGAAAAACAAACGTTGCATCACCTAGTAATAAACTGCATACTAATACTCGACTTCTGGATTCTGTTTCAAGACTGGTGGCACCAAAAAACAAATGAAACAATAACGTTATCCACAAGTCATATACTCTATGGCTGGCATTATAGGACAAAGCATTGGCAAGTCCTAAATTATTGCCTATTGTTAGCCAAATATCACATTTTCTGCACAAGCCTTTGCGGAGACATCTTAGATTTTCAAATCTTCCTACTGTTCATCACGGGAAAACTTGAAATCCTAAAAGAGATCGCGACCGCAAAAAAAAAACTTCCGAAATTTTATCGCACGTGGGCTTTTTTACTTTAATTTTTCATGCTGCTGTTGTTTTTAGGTTAGACTTATACTTAATTTCATAAATATTTGTTTAAGCTATATCAAAAGTAAATATCCAAAGAAATGTAGCATTTTTTGAGACCTGTATGTTCACTTGTGATTGTCTTTTAATTGAAAAGAACTTTTTAAACACGCCAACCGTAAATTAAGTTAATGTTAATAGTATTGTAATACATGTATCGTAATGTAGTGTATGCATAATTAGTGTAAGTATAAGTATCAGTAGTGTAAGTAGCAAGTACAGTGTAAGTGTAATTAATACTGTAAGTAGTGTAAGTGATCGTCTTGTAAATAAAATTGTTTTTAAAAAAAAAAAAAAAAAACTTTGGTTAAACCATTTACTTATTTAAAGTATGCGCAAGTCATTTAAGATCATTTCTTGAAAACAAGAACCTTTTACAGACAAACCTGTGCAAGGTACATTGACATCCCTGTGTACAATCCACAACAATAGTACATGCTCTTTAATTTCATTTAATTAAGATGAATGAGGGAATTTCACCATACTTGAGTAAATTCATTTATTTAATTCTATTCAGGTGATAGCAGCCTTGGTGGTGTTGTGGTTGGCATCCTGCTTCCACTGGTTTTTGTGTTTGTTTGTGCGGGTTGTATTTACTATAGATGTGTTCGTCAAAGGAGACTGGCAAGAGCACAACAACACATAACTGTAGCTCATGTTACTGCCCCAACACAGCAAGTAACCATAAATCACCCTCCCCCAGCACCTCAGCCAGGGTATGGGCCCCCACCTTCCCAAGCAGGATACTTTCCTCCCCCGCAGTCTGGCTATGCACCTCCACCACAGCCAGGTTATGCACCACCACCCTACAGTCAGGTGGTGGGGGCACCATACCCACAACAAGGTAAGTCAATGGAAACTGTCCTTTTAATGTAATGGGTCGTTGTCAATGAAAGCTAAGGGTTTTTTTAATCACGTCTGTTGTGAAATGTGAAGAAAGGAAAAATTCTGAGTCACATTACCCCTGCCCCTAAAATACTCAACCACTGGTAAGATGGAAGGTTTGTGTGGGTCATTCATTGCATATGTTATACCAGGTTCAAAACTAAAAGCACTTGCTATGTCAAATTACTACATGGGGCAATACTAACAGTAACTTCACTTCAAGGAAGTACAAACCTTATCGCAAGTAAACTGATTGTTCAGTCAGCGATTTTGGCCTCTTCCGTATATTAAATACATATGAAAATGGAAGCATGGATCTGAATCATTAAAGAGGTGCATGTACATGAAGAGCATTTCTTGGTACTGAGTATATGACACTTGCAAGTAGAACCTCAGATAGGCTGGCATTATGAAACATCTCGGAAGTAATAAAATGTATGATAAGAAATTTGTGTAAATTTTCTCTGCAGACAAGTCTGGATCTTATCCTGCTGCACCACCTGGTGGACAACCATATCCTCCTGGTCCTCTTGCACCATACCCGCCAGGAGAACCAGCTGGAGTACCACCCTACCCCACTGGACAACCAGATGGAGTGCCTCCCTACCCAGCAGTTCAGACGGCACCTGGAGGCGTGGCACCTTACCCATCAGCACCTCCTCCTGCAACAGCCCCACCCTATCCTCCGCAGTAATTGCCTGTCAAGTATACAAATCCTTCTCATTTGAAAGCAAATCTAACATTTTGGGTCAGCAAATGTTGGATTGGTAAACAAAAATCTCCAACTCTTTTAAACCGCTGAAAAAACCTGGTCCTCCTCATATTGCGAATTGGTGTAACAAGTTTAGCAGAGCAGCAAATTCAGGTGAATTCCAAGGACATTTTGCAACTAGTAACATTTGTTAAGGTGATTCCTCAGTTTTGCACCGCGCATCCTGTATTGCGCATGAAAATCACGTAATCAGGGGAATGAGCGCAAGTGCATTACGAGAAGACGGTATTGTTCTTTAATACCTGGAAAGAGGTACGATGGTCTTAAGGTCTTGAACGAGCAGGGTGACAGTATATATATTTTTTCCATAATTTTGGTGTACAATTTATCCCCTTTTAATCAGGGAAATTATAAAAAAAAATTTTCGAAGAGAAATTAAGATAAAGCTAGAAGCGTGGACGAGGATGCAAATTATGTTCTTGAAAGGAACGACTCGTGAAACGTTGGAGTCGATGTCGTTCAGTTTTGCGTGATTTTCGCACAAATTATATATCAAATTGTTCCGCACGCTTCACACTTTCTTTCAATCGAGTTGTTTAAAAGTGTTACTTTAAAAACCGTTGCCTCTAGCAGCAGCGAAATGTACTGTATCCACCCAATTTAAATGAAATTTTCGACGCCAAAAAATAAGAATCAAAATTACCCACTTCTAATCGTTAATATTATCTTACTCTGTGGAACTGCAACAATAGGAATCCGCATTCTTTTACCTCGGTTATTTTATGAGAACTGTGTCGTATTTGTTTGTATCAAACTAAAAGATAATGCGGAAAAAAACAAACAAAAAAATAACCAATGCCTCCTATGAGAAAGCTTCAAATAAGCCGTCGCACCTTTTACAATTTTATTGTCTACATGTAGACGATGTTTTTCAACAAGTAATATTTATTATGCTATTTAAGTACCATATTTAAGCAATGCATAACACTTGAGTATAATTGGCTCAGTGCTTAAATTTCTTGGAATTTTATTTTACATTTTAGGAAAAAGCCTGTTACACTATGTGCTTAATAAAGTTGAAACTGACCTCTGAACGGGCTCTCTCCTATCTAGATATTTATATAATTTGGCTTTATCAACTGAGATGATAGTGTATATTGGCCACCGTAGATAGTTTCTAAAGCAAAAGTTTCTAGGGTTGGCCCTTCGTCAGAGCGAATGATGGTGGCCAAATTACACAATCAACTCAGTTTATAAAATCAATTATCTTATTATACCCCCACCGATGCAACACCGCAGTTTCTATAGAATATTATTCTCTCTCTAGTAGTTAGTTTCGAGCTGACTCGAAAAAGATAGGAGCCTCTCGCTAGACAAGTGTTGTCGAAACTTTGTAGTTGGAGCACATAATTCGGAAATCAGTGTTAATTTCCCAATAGCCTGAGTTTCATTTTAATTTTAAGAACAGGTAACCGTCTTTTTTTCTACTAAATGTATAGCAGGTGACGATGGGATAAACACAGCTTGGGCAATGAAGTCACTAAATATTATGATAGTAGTGTCAACATCGCCAGAAATCAAGGACATTTGTAAGGAAACTTGCTTCATGATGAAGTTTATCAAAATGAAATATCACGATCGCGAAGCTTACCTTCTGTATCATTCAGTGTTATTTGTTGTCATAGTCGTCTTTGTCGTGTTCAGCGAATTGGAGTCAGAAAAACATTCGAGAATAGCTCGGGTTTGCACTTTTTTATGTCCTAAATTTTTTACCAGCGCCGGTGAAACCTAAGTGAACAAAGTCATGCTCTCGCTAGAAAAGAAAATGACAATTTGATTTCGGCACAGCTTTCTAAATTTCATTCAGTCTTGAGCGACTTCATTTGTTAAAGAAAAATAATGATTATAAATTAGACGAAAATAACAAAGACAAGAAAACAGGAACGAAGACTTATTCTCAAGTCTAACCGTTTCGTCGATGACTAGTTTGAGTTCATGTCATTCTTTCATGGTTAAAGAGGAACTCGTCATAAATAACTGGTTAAATAACTGATAGTAGTCCGTGGAAAGTTTTCTTGTCTCATTATCTTAAGAATGTAGGAACCAGTTTTCTGCTTCAGTGCAATTTCAATCCATCGCGCCTACCCTGTAAACTACCTTCTTTTTATAAAGAATGTCTTGAAGTTTTGTCTGACTTTAATGGCAATCACGATATAATAGCTACAAAACAGGACGTTTTAAATGTGACTATCTGGAACAACCAGAACCTCTTGATTAACAAGAAATCAATATACAACAAGAGAATAAAAGAAGCAGGTTTTGTGAAACTTGGAGATATTCTCTCAAATGATTCAAAATTAAAAAGGTGGGACGCTTTTAGAGAGAAAAATCTCTCCTTGTCAGATTACTTACTCCTACAAGGCATTTTTTCCGCCATTCCGCCTAACTGGAAACAGCTCCTTAACGTTGGAGAGAATAATAACAACCGAATTGACCAAACTGTTTCAGACGATGTTCAAGATATAACTAGAATGACTTCAAAATCAATCTATTCCACCCTGGTCAAACGAATCCAGATTTCTCCGACTGCCAAATCTAAGTTTAATTCCGTATATAATATTTCAGGTAATATAGACTGGAAAAATATTTATCTATTGCCGGGTCGAGTCACTCTTGGCACCAGAACGAGAGCCTTTCAATACAAAATCTTAAATCGTATTCTCTACACCAATAAAATCCTATATAAAATGAATTTGGTTCCTTCTCCGATGTGTACCTTTTGTGGAGATCACGAAGAAACTCTTGAGCATCTTCTAATCAGCTGTACCTACACTAAAAACTTTTGGCTTTCGGTTGTTTCTTGGTTAAATACTTACAATATGAAAATTGATAAGCTTGATGAGGTAACAATCCTCCTTAGTATTTCCGATAATATCCCTGGGAATTGTTTGTTAAATCACATAATCATTCTTGGAAAATATACCATTTATTCATGTCGTTGTAAAAATATCAAGTCGTCTGTATCCTTACTGAAGGCTAAAACATCTGAAACTCGGAAATTTGAATTTTTGATTGCAAAAAAGAATAAAAAAGAATCTATCCATTATAGAAAATGGGAAAACATGTTATTGTAACTCAATAGATGAGTATCGGGTATTAACAGTTATAGACGCAGTTGTATATACAGTCGTTCTACCAAAAAAGGAATTTGATGTAGAAGTATTTGTACAAATTAGGTTTATATTATTATATAACCACAACATAAATTAAATCTAGCCGACTGTGAATGTAATGTAACGCAGTATTTCGTAATTAGTGTTAGTGAGTAGCGTAAGCGTTAGTGTAATTAACTTTGTATTTGTTTGTATTATTCTAGTATTTGTGCTTTAAGTGAAAATAAAAAAAATGTTAAAAAAAAAAAAAAAAAGTAAATAACTGGTTTCTACATGGTTTCGCCATAACTCCTGATAACTCCATTCAAAGTGTATTGCAACTCTAAGAAGATGGTTCTCAAAAGAGATGTATTGTCATGATTGAGAAGAATATTCAGTAAAAAATTATGAAGAAAAGTGACTCGTACTGAGATCTAGTAGCACGAAACGAAATGATAGCGACACAAATCACCGAAAAAAGATCATTTAGTGAGCTTCAAAATTTGAAAGATGAATCAGCAGACTCGAGACTTAACTGGAGTAGGATAATTTCAAAGTTTAATCACCCATGTTGATTCATATCAACAACTTACTTTCCGTATCTATAACTATCCATAATCCTCAAGTAAGTTAATTTCGTTGTCCTTAAAGTGGTCCATGAAACCGAAAATTCAAAGGTGACAGTGATCTTTACACAGCCGAGGTTAGGATATTCAAGAACAAATGTAACGTTGACGATTTGTTGCAGCGACTGCAAAGTCACTTCTGAGACACAACGGGGCGACGTTCTCCACTCAGTTTCTGAACAGTATTTTTGCTGCGCGCGCCGTTGTCAACTGACGTTCCCGTCCTCTTGCCAAATCACTCCAATGAACACAGTGATCAAACGTCTGTGCACGTGATAGCGTTAGAATGTCTAGGTGGGGTGTTTCCAGTCTGTCAGGACCAGCTTTTATTTCAAACCAGCTACATGCAACCACACAACCCAGTAAATCGCGGTTTGTTTAAAAGCTTCCCCTATATTTTTGTGATTATTTTAATTTAGTTTTACAGATTTCTATGAATGTCCCAGTTGTGTGAGAAATTTATAGCCACTGACCATAAATATCGAGAATCCGCCGATATTTGCAAAATTTCGTAATTCCGTTTTTTTTCCTAAAGGACCCTTTTAATGAACCTTTTTCAAAGTTAGATCTAAAATTTATGTCGCGCTTTGCTTTCTCTGAAAAATCGAAAACCCTAACCCCACCCTCCCGTAAAACAATGAAAAATTATGCAACTTCGGCGACTTCTTACGCCACAACGCGATGCAATCCCGCTTTTAAATTTTGTGTGTTTGTAGATGAACCTTTCATCTTTTCGAAAATATAAATTTCTTGTTATTTTGTTACGTTTAGACTGCATGGTGACCCGTTGAAATAGGGTACTCTGTATTTTTTGCAGAGGTAAAATAAAGGTCAACTTTAATGGCCTCTAAGAAAAAGGTCAATTTGGCGACCACACCGCTGACAAGGAGCCAAAATGACCCTGGGCTTGAGATTGGTTTGAGCGGGAAGCACCCGAGATTGATCCCTTTTGCGCATGCCTCAACCTTGACCGCTGTACCGGGGTTTTCCTGTTGCTTGTTAATAACGAAAAATCATCCTGCAACGGTTACATTAATCTTCTAACGACCACGACGATAATTGGGCATACCGTACGCGTTGACTTGAATGCTGGTGAGATTCCTTTATTAATGTTTAGAGCCGAATTCTCTTTTCTTCGTCTTACTTTTGTTAGTTTTAAGATTAATTTCAATTTCGCATTGATTAATGTTATGTCTGTCACGCCGGTGGCGAATCGTAATGGTAATTTAAAGCTTACGTGGAAGTCTTAAATTTATATAGTTTAATCGAGTTGCCCTGCGCTAGGGTAGCAAATCATATTTATAGTTGCCTTTTACTTTATCGCCTCAACGAGAGATAATTTGGAAATTCGAGGTGTTCGCAGGTGGACCTCCAAAAATTGAATTATTTTCTGCAAGGTCGTGAACATAACTCGGAGACTCCTTTCAGGGTGTTATATGAAAGACTTATGAAATTTTTCACTAAGTTACAGTTGTTCAAAGGATGGATAAATCGCTATGCAGCGGATATGGGCTACGGAAACGTACTGCGCTATCCTCTGGATAGAGATTTATTCTGTGAATAGCGTTATCCACCCTTCGAAAGAATAAGGCCAGTGTTACATTAATATTAGAAAATTTAACCTTTATTTCCGTAGGGTCTTGATGAAGGAGGTGGGTTGATTCAGTAATGAAGTTCGTTTGAAGTTGGAGTCATTTTCACACATTGCATGGTCAGGTGACAAATCTTTGATCTTTTTGTAATGTGATTGTGTGGGCCTCAGTTACTGTCAACTTACTTTTATTGTAAACAGTGGTACAACCAGAATTCCTCAAAACAAGAACGATAACCACACAACGTCGAGCCTGCCATGTGTCCCTGCATAACGCATGCGCGAGACCTATAACCGCAGACCTGATATGTTTACATCTCCACCCTGAAAAGTCTAATGGGTGTGGCAGCGGGACTAACTACAATACAAAATGTTTGGCTAGTTAGGTATAACACAACGACAGCTTATAATAGCTTTAAACTGAAATGTTTTCTCAGTCTGCAACGAAGTTTATAAGTCCAATCTAGATGGTTTCCTTACAACACGGCCACTCCTGGTTGTCAAAGGCAGACCATCACTTTTCTCAGTGGGTTGAGCTGGCTTGTGGGGTGTCTGTGGTGGCTCCGATGACAAAACTTCGTGGGGTGTCACCATAGCTGTGGTGGGCTGATAAGAGGAAGTGTCCCGATTGTTCTCCAACTGTTCTTCAGAGGTTGATACTCTTTCACCCGACAGTTTCAGTTGTACTCTGTTGCGCCTTAGCTCTGAACCACCAGCT